ACGTGTGCTCTTCCGATCTTGTCTGCACATATGTATGTACGTATGTACATCTTATCGTCTTGCATTTCATTGGGTCCAACCCAAAACAAAAGTTGCGCGGCGATACCTGCGCGAAGATTCAGTTTTTCGCTGAGTGGACCTACTGGTTATACTGTGTTTGTACTCTGTCCCCTTATATTCCTATGTCCATGCTTGCGGCCTACAAAGAACAAAGGCATTCCACCTCCATGTTCTATATACTCAAAGTACATACTGCACACGAATTTCCATGCAATCTTTCCTCATATATTAAAGCACCTATAGGTTCATTTAAAAAAAAGCACAAGACCATTCTTTTACGTAAGTTTCACTGCGAATAATACTTATTTTATATGTACAAAGTATAAAACTCTTATACTAAATAAATATTGTTACGATTTGATGCTATAAATTGATAACAAAACTATAATTTTGGAAAATTTTTTCGTTTTTGTACATAATAATTTCCCCCTTATATATTTCCGTTATTGTCTATACTTAATTTAATTTTGGAAGTGGTTTTTTCAAATCTACAAAAGTAATGTTATACCCAGATGGCACCAAGTCATCGAAAAGATGTCTAAAATTCTAAAAGATGACGCAATTTCTATAAAGATATATAGGGTGTCCCATTTTAATTGATCACCTCAAATATCTCATGAATAGTGCATTTTAGGGAAAAATGTTTCAGACAAAATTTTGGGACTTCGAGGGAGACATAAGACGCTATAATAAAGTTATTTTTCAATAAATACTTTTCAAGTTATGAAGCTTGAAAGTTATCGTCGGCATTAACATTATCCAAGATGTCCGATAAACGGACATCTCGAGCATAGTGCAGCGAGCTTTTGGAAAGCTCTCGAGGTGTGCTACAAGAATATGTAATGAAAAGTGGGGGATCCCATTTAAAAAATTCAAAGTGAACTTGTCCTGACCTTGACGACGCCACTAATCAGGGTCAAACTAATGTTATTATTTTATGTCCCCCTCGAAGTCCCAAAATTTTGTCTGAAACATTTTTCCCTAAAATGCACTGTTCATGAAATATTTGAGGTAATCAATTAAAATGGGACACCCTAGATATCTTTATAGAAATTGCGTTATCTTTTAGAATTTTAGACATCTTTTCGATGACTTGATGCCATCTGGGTATAACATTACTTTTGTAGATTTAAAAAAACCTCTTCCAAAATTAAATTAAGTTAGACAATAACGGAAATATGTGCGGGTAAAATTATTATGTACGAAAACAAAAAAATTTTCCAAAATTATAGTTTTGTTATCAATTTCTAGCATCAAATCGTAACAATATTCATTTAGTATAAGAGTTTTATACTTTGTACATATAAAATAAGCATTATCCGCAGTGAGACTTACGTGAAAGACCTAGGTGCTTTAATATATGAGGAAAGGTAGAAATTCGTGTGCAGTATGTATATGTACTTTGAGTATATAGTGTCATAGTTAATATAGAGATCGCGCGGATAGGTGGCGTGATCGACGCCGAGGTGAGAGCGACTGCAGAGAGACTTGGTCACCGACGCGTGCACATGGTTGCCTTTTGTATTCCGATTATACAATATACATAATTTCCGAACATAGTAGTTTTCCTTTGACACGTTCCCTTATCACGAACATAACATATAGTACATGGAATGCCTTTGTTCTTTGTAGGCCGCAAGCGAGTACAAGAGTGGCAAGGAGTGCGAGAGAGAATGGTATACGAGCGATACCAAGGCTGCGTTTTTCTTGGACGCTTACGCGCTGTAAGCGCTTATAAGCTTCGCTTATACCGTTCCCTTTGGCGTTATAAGCGTTCATGAAAGGCATTCATGACGTCATGACTCGTGCTTACAATTG